GCGCGGGCGGCGGGGAAAGAAGAAGAAAAAAGAGTAGAGCAAATTTCAGCATGAAAACTTACTATACCTGGCAGCTAAAATAATCGTTACATGCTAGAAAGGCTAAATTAACTGAAGAGAGCTTTGGAGGGGTAAGTATTGAAACCCTAGTCACAATCCCCAAGGATCCTTCACTTCCTACATAAATGACAAAAATTTAAGGCTATACATAATTCCCGCTGCTAGCAAAAAAACAAGAGGGTTTAGTACCTATAAATAAATGCTTCAAGTCATATCCAGTATTATCCTTGCGCAAAGTACCAAGCATGTCAAGCACGTCACCATTAGCTAAAACGGCTTCAAGACCTGCAAGAGAAGCCAAAAGTATACATGATGAAATGGTGATTCCGAGGAAAAGAAGAATTTTAAGCATGTGCAACTTGTGTTGCAAGATATTGATTAATTTACGTGGTCTATCATAACTCAATAAATGGGAAGAATAAGGCAGAAAAGCCATACCAAGTACAGTCCCGTGAAGTGATCCATATCGGACAAGACGCAAACCGCCTGCATTTGTTGAAACATTTCCACCAATTTGGCAGCTACCTTTAGCACCTAAGTCCAGTGGCATAATAAATCTGAATACAAGCATAAGGTACTTAAATATAACATAAAATTTTGTAGATTTAGTGGACTATTTAAATGCATGCACGAGTTGTACAAACAAACTAATAAATCTTCAGTATCAACATAAACCACTTATGCACGACTCCATGAATAATCATAAACTTCTTGGAAAAAGAAAGATACGATTGAAAAAGATGTCAACCAATGTCAATGAAACTCAAATAAAATCATGTAACAGAGAATAAGTATCTTATTCCAACAACCAACTCACCACAGAATTGAATGGCTATTATTATTGAAATTTGGAAGTGACATTATGGAAGACATAATAAAAGTAAAGGTCCATGAGAAAAGAGAGTGATGGTTATAGAAATCACCCTTGGGTGTCCAGGAACGTTATCAAATTCTCCAGTATGCACCCTGCTTCACATACCAGTATTCCACTGACCTGAAAAAAGCATAAGGAAATCACTTTACAAGTTTGCAGTCATATTGTTAAATCATTTTCAAATTTGACCTTACTGAAGCAAGATATTTAATACAATATATATATCAGTAAAATTCTTCAAGGCAAAAAAAAAAGGTGTAGCTGAATTTTTTTTAAAACATAACCCCAATCCATTCGTGATTGAAATAAACCATGACCATGGTTCTAAAAGGAAAAAAGAAGTCTTTACTGAAATGAACTTGTGGAAAGCAGAAAAAACTTAAAACAAGTACCTTGAGTTAAACAAGTACCTTGTCAAAAGAGACGATGTTATTCATCAAACCGAGATTGATAATCACCTGAAAACCATAATGAAGAAAAAAACTGATAAGCCCTAATAACTAATGTAGGTTAGATCTAAGAAATAGTAGATTGCTAATTCAAACATACGAGTATAATAAATATGAGTGATGTACAGGAAGGATAGTTATACATTAAGAAACAAAACAAACGATATATAGAGTATTCTTTATCTTGTTAATGTTAATGCCATCAGTAAATCAGTAATAAAATAGAAACGCTACATTACTTCATCAAAGACAGGAACACTTCCACCAACAAGACCAGTATTTCCGCCTTGCGGAACAACAGCCAAGCATCTGGAATTACAGTATTTGAGAATCTGAGCCACCTGAGAGAAAAAAATAAATAAATAACACAAACATACAGAAGGCCTTAGTTTTGGTTATACCTCAAATGATACATTTATAACTCACCCAAAAAAAAAAAAAAGAGGCACGGCATACATTGCATAAGCCAATCTATGAAGGTGATATGGAATTCTAAACTTTGTAGCTTATGACATAGGGGAAACAAAATTTGAGAAACTAGTTAAATGGGCAAAACGTTGACCTTGACTCAAACTAAATTGAAATAAGAAGCTATCAAGCTCCAAAGAGCTTGCTACATATAAGAATCCAAATACCCAAGTCACGATAATTAAAAATCAATAATACAAAGTAGACCAAGATTTTCCACCCAAAAGAGAAGAGTTCAACCTCCTCAGTGGTCCTAGGTTGCAGCAGAAGCTTACTTGAGCCTCTGTACTTGTGCATCCAATCCGTATTAGCAGTCAGCAGCCGATCTTCGTCCTGAATCACATTTTTCTCGCCCACTAATCCCTTAAAATAGTTTATATCATCAGTGTTCAACGTCGAAAATGAAGGATTCCTCTGAATTAAACTTGTCGCCGAGCCAAAACATCGGACTTGGAATCCGACTTCATTTCTAATCCCTCTTTCCGCGGAAGATCCCAGATAACCTCTCTTCTCTCTCGAGGAACTCAAACAATTACCGAATTTCCATTCTCGCCTTTCGTTACGCGCAAAACCTATTCAAAAAAACACAAAACTCACCATTTTCATTACGTGCCTTTTCAATTTCCACCTAAATACGCAATGCGATTGCTTTCCAAGGACCAAAATACTCGAAAAAAATCATGAAATTTTCCCTAATTTTTTTTCTGATTGACCGAAATGGCGACGAGTAATTCAGAATCAGAAATGAAGAAAGAAAGTATGTTCGAGATTGAGAATACAGAAAGAGGAATTGCATGTTGCTTGCTCGGAAATAGGCTTTGATCGAAGATCGAAGGACTTTGTGGAAGAGTATCGGAGGAAACGATGACTAGCTCTCCATTTCTCCATCGTCGTTTTTCTTTCAGTTTCAGGTGGAACGGTGGTTGAGTTTCAGAGCACAACCTGTATTTACAGACACGATGATCCGAAACAGGTCTGAAAATTTTGACGGGTTGACAAGGTTTATGGGTTAGTTTGGTATTGCTGCGGATTTTAGATTAATTGTTTTTAGCTGTGCTGAAGGAAGAATCTGTTGTTACAAGAATCCGTTGAGTGTTTGGTAAATTGTAATTATAGTAGTTGTGTTGGTTCTAAAATTAATGTAATAACGTTTGGTAAATTTTGATGTAAAATTATTGTGGGTATGTAAAATGACCAAAATAGATATAGTATGAAAGTTAAATATATATAATTGTTTTTAATATTTAGAAATATTTATTTAACTTTAAAAAAACATAATGCTATGATTTTATTTTTTTTAACAATAAATTTATGATAATTAATTCTTTTTTTTTCATGATAATTAATTATAATTCACACAAAGATAGTAATAATAAAGTAATAATAAAGTATATTACAAAAAGAAAAAAGTATACGATTCCTAAATCATTATAAATTGTTTCGTTATACAAAAGTATACAAATTGATTACTCACTACAAGGAGTATTAGTGAGTAATCAATTTGTGAACAAAAAAGTACATTCCATGTTCAAAAAGTGACAGAGCCATCAAAAGAATTAAGTCGTGTTCATTAAACTTGTCGCAATCTGATCTCGTACTTCAACCATTTCTTGTGATGGTGAAGCTTCATCTTCTTCTACATTATCCTCCAGTTGATGCTCTTCATAAGCGAAAACATCTAGATTAGCCTCCACTTCTTGAAAATGTCGATCATGCTGATCATGCATCCTAATATAGTTATGAAGCGCCATTATTGCAATAACTATTTTTACTTGCTTCTTAAATGAATAATTAGGCATGTCTCTCAAAATTTTCTATTTTTTCTTCCAAACACCAAAAGTGCGTTCAATGACACTTCGAAGAGAAGAATGTGCTTGGTTGAATACCTCTTTACTGCCCATTGGTCGACGACCCATTCAAAATTGTGGTAAATGGTATCGTTCTCCTTTATAAGGTCCAAGAAATTCTTTCAATTGTGATAGCCCGCATCAACCAAATAATATTTACCTATTAAAATAAAAACACAAGAATTAGTAAAATGTAAAACATATATAATATAAAATATAGGCAATGTTTTAACCTTCAGGTGGTTTTGGAAATTTCAAATGTCGGTTACGTAGTGCTGATAAGAATATTCTTGTATCATGGGCACTACCTTCCCAACCTGCATATGCATATATAAATTTCATACTGAAATCACAAGCAGCCATCACATTTTGGGTTGGCACACGCTTTCTTCCGATAAATGGCACCTGATCTTCTGGTGGTATTGTAGCTTGAACATGTACGCCATCTATCGCACCAATACAATTCTAAAAAGAAGAATTTTTAATGTATAAATAAACATAATTTTAATAGGGAATGAAGCATATAAAAAGTATGCTTTTAGTAGGGAATGAAGCATATTAAAAGTATGATTTTACCTTAAAATGTGGCATATATCTACGATCCGTCAGTATCTCTATTGGTATGTCATTAAACTCTAGATCTGGAGGCTGTATAATATCGATGCTCATACGACATACAATTTCTAAAACATAATTAAAATATCTACTCACAGTCTCACCAGAGCGTTGAAATCGCTCTTGTGCTGAACGATTCCCCGCACCCTGACCCAAAATGAATAAAAACATTCCAAGTATTTCAGTCGCACACATATTCCTTGATCCCTGTAATCCATACTTACTCTGTAGATCATTACATAGCTTCAAAAACACGTTCTTATCCATTCTAAACATCCTATAACTTCTAATTTCATGCCCGCTTAATAATTCTGTCACCCACATGTTTCCCGTTTGTGAAGAGTTCATACACGAATTCTTATGAACATACGTGTTGTAGTAATATTCAATGAGTTGAGCAATGAGACATGTAAATTGTAGATCAAACTCATCACCATTGTCAGCCATCTTTAGCAACAACAATAAACCTGTCATTCAAATTGGTGAAATTTGTAAACTCATCACATTGTCAGGCCATCTTTAGCAACAACAATAAACTGAAAAAAAAATAGGATTGGCATGCAAAGGCCGGCACACCTCAAAGGGACCACATATTATTATGTCTTAAACATAAAGTAATAAAACCACACTGAAAAAAAATAACAATGTCTCCAACATGAATACAAGAAAAAGACCAAACTGAAAGAGAATAACAATGTCTCAACCTAAAATACAACAAGAAAACCGCACTAAAAGGAAATGAGGAATGGAAATCTAAGTGGAGGATCCTAGCCCATGTTCAAACTTAAGCCAATTGAGCTTCACCTCAGGTTCCTTAAAAGCCATAAATGCGTCTCTCTTACACTTGTCTAACAACAAGTGAACCGAAAAGAAATACAACTCGCTTCCAGTTTGTAATCCTGGTAATGAATCTAGAACTTCAACAACTTTTGCCATGCTACAGTTTCCAGTGTCAGATGGCGCAATCGATGATCCAGTACTTCTACTCTCAACTATATCGACAAGGTGATCAATTTGTTGAGACAATTTAGCAGCCCCTCCAACCTTCACATTTCCTTTTCCTTTCTTGACTTTATTTTGTCTCTCATCTCTCTCAATTGACCTCTTATTCTTACGAGCTTGTGCCAGTTCACTTCGGATTGGTTCACCTGACTCACCACTACTCTCAAGTTGTTCAGGTAGACTAGATTTATCATTTTCACCTTTATCAGACTCACATGGCACTTGTCCAGAAGATGGTGTCCAAGCATACACTCCTGTGGCCACAGTATTCATGAACATCCTATTTAACTTTTCTTCTAACAGTGGTTCAATTCCCCGAGTGCGAAACCTCGCTGCGTTGGGATGAATCTGCAAGAGCATTTGAAAAAATTAAACCTGCCTAGTCCAATACTAGAATAAAGAATGACAAATCCTATAATTCTGTATACCTGCAATTTATTATGCCACCACTCCTCAGATGCATCAATAGTATTCTTCTTAATGTTCCAACCTAGACCAGTTTCTTTACCAATAAGTTCCTTCCAAAGCTTCCAATCATTCTTCAAAGCATCCCATTTATTCTTCAATTGTTGTCTTTTATATACTCGTTTGGTTGCTTCATTAAATTTCCGAATTAAATTTTCCCATCCAACTTTATCCAAATGAGTTCTAGGACGGCGTCCAGCTTCCACCTCTATAATACACAAATCACAAAACACATCCACAGTCTCGGGGTCCCATATTGCTTTACCTTGTGGTATACTACCCTCCATTTGAGAATTGATAACTGAAAGTCTAAAACAATGTGAGGCTTCATGCTTTTATTTACAAAAACAATAATAAGGGTAATACTAACCTTATTTCCAATTCAAACACTCACTCAATAGCCAAGCTAATCATAGCTTCTACTCCTAGATACTTCACCTAAAAATTGCTAATCAAGAATAGAATGCTAATTCGATTTACAACAATTGTGCCTAATGATCACTTTCTCTTAATTCTTATGAGATAATTTGATGAAAATCTGACGCTTCCTTATAATTATCCTAATAATAGAGTTTTTTTTTTTTCATATATACCCTGTCATAAAACTCTCTTACAATACAAAACAAAAGTATGAACTGAACAAAATTGAAAGCTCAATAGATACCAATGTTGAGTTAAGACATATAATTTGAGCCTAATTACAAGGAAATTCAAGGTAAACAAGATTAATTTAACGTTAAAAAAGAAAGGAAACGAGAGCATCAATTGCTCCGGAGAACCTGGCAGTGTTAATACAAATAAGTGGGAAAAGAATATGAAGAAATTGACGATTGAAGGTAATAATTATATGCTTTTAAAAGTGATTCGTTTGACAACGAGAAACTCCTTTCCTTTGAACATTCCCTTCCCACAATAACTTATATAAATTGGAATTCTCTTTTCCATTTAGCAAGTAGCGGAGAAAAACAAAAGCAGAAAAGAATTAAACAAGTATCTAGATAAAGAAAAAGGATCTGAAGTATGAAAACCATGCAGACTATATTCCTTGTGTTACAATGAGAGATACATCGAATGCATCTAGAAACACAACTTTGGATGCATTCCATGTCAACAAACGACAGCAAACAACAACAAACGACATATGAGTGCTAATGTCACATATGGACAACAAACGACATAGGAGGGTAATGTCACATATGTGGAACGAACAACAAGAGCAAACAACAACAAACGAGAACAATGAGTACAAAATGTACATTACACAGAAAGCATATGCATTAGCAATGTGCAAGTATATGCATCAGACCCAATTTAGAAATACATTACTCAATTCAAGCATATGCATCAGCCAAGCTTTATACAAAATGCTTTAACTTAACATATGAGTGCTAAAACAATCAATTCCCGAGCACACAGAGGAACTTTCAACAATGTGCAAGTATTTGTGCTAAAACAAGCATAAACTTAATTTTTTTTTCCCGTTGATGCTGTTTCTGTTAGTGGCCCATTGCAATTCCCGTTGATGCTGATTCAACAATGTACAAAATTTATAGAAAATCAGAACCCTAAACCCATTTCCGCACAAATCAGACCCAATCTAAAAATCGGAGGAGAAATCACACTAAAAATCGGAGTAGCAATCAGGCCCATTTCAAGGCTTACCTCTTGATCTGGTGATGGGCAATCGGAGGAGGAGATCGGATACCGGCAAACCGACTTTCAACAATCGGAGGAGATGCTCGATCGTTTTCTTTGATTGCAAAAAATCAAATCCCTAAAACCCAAAATACAGGCGGAATAAAAATCAAAATGAAATCCAAATGTTCAAACTAAAAAATTTTGCACGGTTAGAGAGGCTTATCTCTTGATTTGATGATGATAGACGGGCAGTCATCGGAGGAGGAGATGGGCGACCTGCAAACGGACAATCACGCGGAGGAGAAACCAACCGAGCTCCGACAGGCGAACGGAGAGAGACCGGCGAATGGAGAGAGAGACCAAATCTCAAACGGAGAAGAGGGGAGAGGATAGAACGCACAAGAATTTTTTTTTGCAGGGGACGAGAGTGATTCCGGAGAGGAGGTGAGCGGAGGAGAGTCGGGGGAGATGAAATGAAAATGTGTTTTGGACGTGGTAAATTTTAACTTTCATTGAGGGTAAAATTAGAAATAGAAAATTTCATTAAAACCTCAAAATAAATTCCCGCATAATCTAACATCAGAATCAGCCTTAAGGCTGATTCTGCTTTTAACTTCAGATTGGAAGAAAATTATTCAACAATCTGTTTTACCAAACAACTTTTTAGATTTTAGATGTGTGAAAAAGTGCTTTTTCTCTCCTAGAATCAATACCAAACCCACCCTATATACTGGCGAGAATGATAATTAGCCAACAGCTATATGCATGCACTTTGCATAGTTGTAAAACTTAAGAGTTGTTTGGTTGGGGGATTCGTACCCCGATTCGAATTATGGTTCGTGATTCATTACAGTATTTTTTTTACAAAAAATACACATAAATTGAAAATAGTTCTAATCTCATTATTTTAATCCATGAACCAAACGTCTCTTTATTCATTTAAGAAAAGACAAATATAAAAAGAATAGAATAATGTTAGGCAAAAAGAAAGGAATGGCCGATAATATGGATCACGATACGACAACACAACTTAAAAATAATATGAAATTTATGGATTAAGCTTGAAAAAAATAGATTTGGATTATATTTGGGTTAATCTAAAATTGATATGAAAAACACGTGTCAATTTCGAATTAGACCTGCCAGACCTGAACACGACACGAAACTCATAAAAAAATTATAATATATATGTTATCGTATTTTAACGTGGTATAAATTTTAAGTTATTTCTAGCGTGTAAAAAAACTCAATAAAATTAAATAATTTTGGTATCAATTTCAGGTTCACATGTCAATTTCATATTATGGGTCATTTTCGAGTCGTGTCGTGTCAGCTCGTAAAGTGGTCACGTTGTGTTCGTATTGCGGTTTTCAAAAGATTTCGTGTCACGGGTTATGTTCAGGTTGACTATAAATTTAGAAAGAAACGATCAAAACCCGACACGAATACGACACTGATACGAATTGTCATCCCTAGCAATAGTACACTAATTCAAATCTCAAATCTTGTGTATTAATTAATGTGATATGTAAGTTGTCATTATCACATTGGTGAGTGTTTAAAATACTAACAAGTAAAATAATGATAAGAGATTGCATCTACAAATAAAAAGAAAACAACTCACTAGCCACATTAATTGACATATACGAGTTAAAAATTTGAATTAGTGTCTCTAACATTAATCATATAAAAATTCAATTAGTTAAGTTAAGAGTGGTCTTTATGTATAGCTCTTTACACAGCAAAATTTTAATAATAGAATTTTAATATAATTTTTTTAAAAATATCATAAAAATAGCAAATTTTAATATTATTAAAATAATGTATATTATTATATGTACAAAATATGACATAATAATTATGTCATTTTTGTTATTTTATAATATTCTAAAAAAAGTTTGCTAAATTTTAACTCAAATTAGAGTTGCAAGTTTAAGTTAGGTCAAGACACGACACTATTGGCCTAGTCTCATCCCGACCAGTTTAAGTGTTCGAGTCAGTTCGATCCAGCCCAAACACAATTTTTTAAAAATTTTCTTAAAAATACCTTGAAAATTCTGAGCAAACCGGTTCAAAATTCTTATTTGGGTCGTCAACTCTGGTATCGGACAACCTGAACTTTTACCTACAACTTAAAATATAAAATTTTGTCACATAGTGTAATTATCTCTTATATATGTATATATATATATATATGTATGTATAGATGGAATATTTCCCTTTGGTTTTCTTTATGATTTATGTACTAAACCCACTTTCTTCTTAAAATAGTAAATTCTTCAAATAACACCACATGGGCACATTTGTTGTAAGGGTGCATTTATGAAGGAGAATGCTATTTAATTCTACTGGTAAAAATTGTGTTTTAACTATTGGATTAGCTTTCAACAGTATTATTATTTGTAGTGAGCACTTTTATGTTGCATGTAGTAAATATTTAATCCAAACATGCATAAATTTAACAATTAAAAAACTAATTTAACAGTTAAAAATAATTATTCTTGCTCGTGGAGTAAATAAGTCTTCCCAACCATGAAAGATTCTCTTATAATAAACGTTTTAGCACTTTTGTAATTGGTAAAGTGAAATCATAATTCATCTATTGATTTAACTTGTATATATATACATCAATGCAAGTATGAAAAAGATCTCTCAATAACGTGCAAATCATTTGAAGAGATTTAAGTAGCGTTAGCAATATTACAAATTCAAAATGAATAAATCCCATGATTTGGGGAGAAGCTAGAGAAGCCTTATTAGATGGTTGGAGCCGACTCTTAGCAGAAGATTTATCAGAGGTGGTAACAACATTTGAATTCAAATTTTGATTTGGAAAATTTCTAACACGCCCTAACATGGTGCTTTTATTAGAAACACAAATCTTGGATAGTAGAGACAGGTGTAACTCGGAGTTGACCAGTAACAATTTTGTCACGAATGAAGTGGAAGTTAATAGCAATGTGTCTAATTCGAGTGTGAAACAATACAGAGTTGGCACACAAGTAAGTGGTGCCCACATTGTCACGGTAGATAGTGGGAAGAGCAATGTGCCGAGCTTCAAAAGGAGAGAAGTAATCCATGATAGTTCAGCTACTATGGAAGCTATAGTACTATATTCTGATTATGTGGAAGAACGAGCGATAAATTTTTGCTTTTTAAAAGACCAAAGAGATAGCATTACTACCAAAATATACTATATAAGCGATTGTTGATGTTCCATCATGGATATTTCTAGCCTAATCAGCATCGGATAAGGCATGTAAGGAAAGTGGTTGATAGCGAGTTAGATGGATACTAAAGTAAATGGTGTTCTTCAAGTACCGGAGAAGGCGTTTTGTGGTTGTCCAATGAATTTGTGTCGGGCAATGATAAATTAGGCAAGCTTGTTGACTGCGAAGGAAATATCTACACGAGTGAGGAACAACAATTGTAAAGATCCAATAACTTGTCTATGCCTGGTAGCATTGGTGAGAAGAGATCCATCATTAGGTACTAAGGCTTCAAAAGTAGACAGAAAGAAGATCATGCATATTTTAGAAGGCGTTTAATTTATTGGTGATCGATTTAAGAGTAAATATAGGATTTACTTGGTAGTTAAGATTTTTTCTCTTGAGGCGGAGTTGTTTAATTCGTTGATTTAAAATTTTAATTTGAGTTAAAATTTAATTTATATGAAAATTTTTTATTATAATAAAAAAATTAAATGTGATTATTTTTTATAATTTTTTACTGTAACAAAATTTAAATCGATGAAATGAATGAAATCCTAATTTGAAAAAAAAAATATAGACTGTCTTTTTTTGTGTGGTAAATATGATATTTTCAAATAAATATTGTATTTACTAATAAATTAGGCATCTATAACGGTCTTTGGAGTCGGTGGCTGAATTTTTAGATAAATAAAATATTTACAAGTAAATACAATATTTACTTGTAAATACGGTATTTAACAATCTCCAGCTTCGACGGTCAGATTTTATAATAAATATGGCATTTCTTTGTAAATATTGTACTTACTGTATTTACTTGTCGTGGGATCTGGCGGCCAGATTTTCTGATAAATATGATATTTACTAATCGCTAGCGAATATAATATTTACTAATATATACGGTATTTATCAGTATATACGATATTTATTAATATATACGATATTTATCAATATATTTGATATTTACACGTATATACAATAAATATAGTATTTATAGTATATACGATAAATACATTATTTACCAATACATACGGTATATACAATATTTACCGATCACTGGTCACCAGAGTCTGCCGCCTGCTTCTGATGCCGGCCATAGTGGACTTGACTAGAGTAAGGAAGGTGAGAGGTGGAATGAGAGGGTCTAAGAGTCTTTTAGGGATTTAAATAGTGTTTAAAACTTAAAATATTAAATTGTGTTATAAACTTTATATTTTAAAAAATTGTGCTATAATACTAATTACTCAACTAATTGTGTCATTTCACCCATTCTCCTTTATTTATGTTAGTAGGTAAATCAGTTTTTGTGTAGGTAATTCTTGATGTAAAGTAGTGACAACAGCGTACAAATTAGATTAAAAAAGTATGCTGAACTAGGTGTGACATTCATGTCATGTGTTGTGTTTTGATCGTTTTTTTAAATTTACAGTCAACCCAAACGTTACTCGTGACACGAAATTTTTTAAAAACTACAACACGACCATTTTATGGGTTGACACAACACAACACAAAATTAACCCGTGAACCTAAAATTGACACGAAAATTATACACTTTTTTTTAGTTTTTTACATATTAGAAATAACTTATAATTCATAATACACTAAAATACGATAACATCCATCAAAATTAAGCAAATAATATTATAATATTTTGAGTATTAACTATCATGATATCACAAGTTTATAATAAAATCTAAAATATATATTTTTTTAATTTTTTACGAGTTTGTTATCGGGTTAGACGGGTTTAACCCGAAATTGACCTATTTTTTTTATGTCAATTTTATGTTGATCCAATTTTAACCTGAATCTATTTTTTCTCAACTCTAACGTCTAAAATTCGTATCGTTTTTAAGTCATGTTTTCGTGTCATAACTTATATTACCGGTTTTATACTAATTAGATAATTTTTTATATAAATTTAAGGATTGAAAACAGAAAACTATTTATAGTTTATTTTTTCTAATACTAACTGTATTTTTTTCGTTTTTTACCTTTCCCTCCTCAGACGTTTCGTTTCGTTCACTCCATCCAAGAAACGGAAATTTTTTATTTCATCGACCGTCGTAAATCTCTTATCCAAGTTTCTGAACACAAAACGCATCCCTCCCCCCTCCCTCTCTCTCCCTCTCTCTCCAATGACGGCTTCTCTCTCGTCGCTCTCCTCAATCCTGAACCAGCCTCACTGTTCTCTCCTGCTGAAGCTCCACGGAAGATGTCGCTTCAGTCTCAGCTTCCGACTTCTCTCTCCGAAATTCGAGTCTCCTCTTTCCCGGTGCTTCCACCACCGCTCGCCGCGTCCACTCCAAAGAAGAAGTTCCTCTCTCGAATTCTCCAGAAGCTTCTCCGCTTCTCAGCCTCCTCTTCCTTCCAACTCCGAGACTCCAAGCCTCCAACACTTCATCGCTCAAGCCGCTCTCGCATCTTCCGAAGCTCAGCAAGAGTGAGTTATCGCATGTACTCTCTTAGAACAACTTGTTCGCTAATTAATCAATCAATTTTCTTGGAATTTGGTGGAAATTTCGTTTTTTACGGTGTAATTTACATTGCTTTGTTATTAATTATGGGAATAAATTTCAATGTATGTCTTTATGCTTTTTTCGTTAATTAATTAGTCATTTTTCGTGAATTTAGTGGACATTTCGTGCTTTTTGGTGTTATTGGGACTTTGTGATTAATTTTCCGAGTAAACTTCAAAGGAGTCATCTTTATGGTGGATTTGCTCATTGATCAATCATTTTTCTATGAATTTGGTGGGAATTTCCTGTTTTGGTGTAATCTTTGATTGCTTTATGATTAATTCTCTGCGTAAACTTCAAAGCACTGATCTTTATGGTTTAGCGGCTAATTAATTAGTCAATTTTCGTGGAACTTTGCAAAAATTTCGGGCTTTATGGTGTAATTTGGATTGCTTTGCGATTAATTCTCCAAGTAATATTTTCGTTAAATGTTTACTAATAGATCCAAACTTTTTGTTTTATGTCGTCTAAAGACCTATATTTATCTTTTTGGGAGGGATAATTGTGTGTAATTGCCAAAAGCACGGAACTGTGTTTTTCATTTTTCATCATTTTTTTAGTATTTTGTCATTGCAATTTCTCATTGTGAAAAACTAATCTCTCATACGCTAGTTTCTCTATGATTAAAATGTCTAGCCATGTACCAGCTTCTGAAGTTTCTTCAAGAGGCCGTATTTATCACGAGACTTATGGGTGTCAGATGAACATTAACGATATGGAAATTGTTCTGTCAATAATGAAATATGCTGGGTATAGTGAAACTGTGGATGTCCCTGAGAGCGCAGAGATCATTTTTATCAACACTTGTGCTATTAGGGACAATGCTGAACAGAAGGTGTGGCAGCGGCTTAATTACTTTTGGTTTCTTAAAAGGCATTGGAAGAGCAATGTTGCGATTGGGAGATCAAATTCAGTGCGACCCCCAAAAGTTGTAGTCTTGGGATGTATGGCTGAGAGGTTAAAGGACAAGATACTTGATGTGGACAAAATGGTCGATGTGGTTTGCGGACCTGATGCGTACAGGGATTTGCCGAGGTTACTAGAAGAGGTAGATTACGGTCAGAAAGGGATTAATACTCTGCTTTCACTTGAGGAGACGTATGCTGACATTAGTCCTGTTCGAATCTCCAAAAACTCAGTTACCGCATTTGTTTCGGTAATGAGGGGTTGCAATAACATGTGTTCATTTTGTATTGTGCCTTTCACTAGAGGTAGAGAGCGCTCGCGTTCTGTGGAATCAATAGTGAGAGAGGTGGCCGAGCTTTCGAAGGAAGGTGTTAAAGAGGTAACACTTCTTGGCCAGAATGTGAACAGCTATAATGACACATCTGGAGACGAAACAGAAGTTGAACCAGGAAGTAATTGGAGATTGAGTGAAGGGTTTTCCAGCATGTGCAAGGTGAAGAAAATGGGTTTACGTTTTTCTGATCTCTTGGATCGACTTTCTAGAGAAATTCCTGAGATGAGATTCAGATACACATCCCCGCACCCTAAAGATTTCCCTGATGAGTTTCTGTATTTGATGCGAGACAGACATAACATATGCAAATATATTCATTTACCTGCTCAAAGTGGGAACAGCAAAGTGCTTGAAAGAATGCGTCGAGGATATACCCGAGAGGCATACTTGGATCTTGTGCAAAAGATTAGGAGAATTGTTCCAGATGTGGGGATAAGCAGTGATTTCATATGTGGTAAGGTGTCTTTTATTCTGACAATTTTAATAAAGTACTTTGGAAACTAAGCTATGTAGAGGGGGAAATATTTATGTTATTTTCTCTGTGGTCGAGAAAAAATGTGATTCGTTTTAAAATTCTTGTATTCAACTCTTTATGACATATTCTAGAGGAAGGGAAAAGGAGCAAAAACAAATTTGTTATGCTAACTGATGAAACTTCTTTAGGGGGTAACATAGCGATGAAAAGTGATAAAATCATCTTGGAAGTGATTGTTTTTCACGTAAATATTATCTTTTTCCTTGCTATAAAGAATGTTATAGAAAGAGGGCTTGTGTTATAGTTAATTTCAATTTGCAATTGTGATTTGATATCCTAGTTAAGGCATGACGCATGGTGCACCTGAAGTGATCGTTCCTAGTTCTCTGTTTGTTCTGTTTTTGTCTTGTTCTTTTCTGAAGAAAGTGCACCGTAGTAAATTTCTGTGGGGGAATTTTGGATTATCGTTTCTAGTTTGGGATCTGTGCTTTTAGTTGAAGTGCTTCTACAAATTGTGTCTTCACTATTCTTGTTAGTTTGCAGTGTTGCTATACAAATATAGTTTTCTGTTTCGAGGGCTTGAATTGAATGTTGAACAAATGTATATTGTATTCATCTGTCGAGAAAAGTTACTCTATCCTCTCCAACACTCAAATGTAAATATCTGTATGCAAATAACTACAACCTACATCCTGTTAGTTTCCGTTATATGTAAAGTGAAATTATAAAAGTTTTTGGTGTTTCCATTTCTAACCTTGTTCCTTCATTCCAGGTTTTTGTGGGGAAACAGAGGAAGAACATAAAGACACATTAAGTCTTGTAAGGGCTGTTGGTTACGACATGGCTTACATGTTTGCTTATAGCATGAGGGAGAAAACCCATGCAAACAGAAACTACTCCGACGATGTTCCTGAGGGAGTCAAGCAGAGAAGGCTCACTGAACTTATTGAGGCATTCCGTGAGACTACGGGCAAGTGTTATGACTCTCAACTAGGAAGTGTGCAGCTTGTGTTGGTCGAGGGGCCTAATAAGAGGGCTCCTGATACAGAACTTATGGGCAAGAGTGATAGAGGCCATAGAGTGTCATTTATTAATGTTCCAGTCCCACAACAAGATTGCAACTCAAATTGTGCGAGGAAACCAGTGGTAGGCGATTATGTGGAAGTTCGTATAACGAAATCCACAAGAGCTTCATTATTTGGGGAAACTCTTGCTATAACTAAATTGAGCTCATTTTACAATGTTGAGTATGAAGAAGCTCTTGCCTGAGGAAGCAGAAGCTGAGATCACTCACCTCTCTACTTTTGCATTATTCAACCGGAAGTATTACAAAGCGTCTTTGTTCTTGTTTGGGCAATAGCTGTGCGGCTTTCTGCTGGGGCTTAAGAGCTTTAGGATGGTTGTAAAAACTTGGTTAGATCATAACAAGATTCATGTTACTATGAAAACTGGTTCAGGCATGGATTTGAAATTGGCTGTGCTCACAAATTTTTTGGAACTTGGCACTTCTTTTTCCTTTATCCGAATTTAGCATGTAACAATACCATAATAAAGTAACTTAGGTCTCGTTCATTTCATCGATTTGAGTTTTCAGTTTTAGATTTCTACAGTAAAAAATTCTTAAAAAATGTCACATCTATTTTTTTTTTTGTTACAGTGAAAAACTCTTAAAAAATATCACATCTCAATTCAAATTGAAAATTTAAATCTGTGAAGTGAACGAAGCTTTAAGTTTTAATTAAAATAGAGCTGTGACTCCAACTAAACCACTTCCTGACAACAAGCACAGCCACTACTATACAGACACGTGGAAGGGAGTCTAACTAATATTATAACTTCTGGATTACCAATCTAAATTATGATTACAATTTGTTAATCTGTTTCCCTAAAAAGCCAAGTTAGTGATTGTCCTTTGTAGCATGTATTTCATGTTCTTTGCTTTCTAGGTCATAGTCTCTCCTAGAATCTGAGACACTCTCTGAAAACTACCAAATCTGACAACCCAAAAAAGAACGAAGTCCTGAAATATGACACGATAGTGCATTGATGATTGACCCAAGCACCAAGAAGAGGTGATAACTGGGGGGGAAAAGTGCCAATTTGCAATGTGTCTATCGGGAAGAATTTGCCACAGTTATATAGCATCATTCGTTCAGTTTATAAATTTAAATTTTCAATTCGAATTGAGATTTAATATTTTTTGAGAGTTTTTAATTTGTCACAGTTATATAGCATTATTCGTTCACTTTATAAATTTGAATTGAGATTTAATATTTTTTTAGAGTTTTTAATTGTAACAGAAAAAATTAAATGTGATATTTTTTAAGAATTTTTAACTATAAAAACTTAAAACTGAAAACTCAAATCGATAAAATGAATAGAATTTAAAAAAATTAAAATTTTATTCATCTAAACGATTTAAATTTTAAATTTTAAATTTTTATGTTAAAATTTTTAAAAAATATTTCATATAATTTTTTTATTATAATTAAAAAAAATTTAAAAATTTTAAAAAATATCACAACTCAATTTAAATTGAAAATTAGATTCACGATGCAAACCTATTGAAAAAGTGGTCAAATGAACATCAAATCATCTGCCCACAATACAACACGCACCACAACTTTCACATGTAGAGGGAGAGGGATCTTTCAATTTGTGTCATAACAGTTATCGTCAAAAAATGGGGGCGCAGCGCAGACATAGAAGTTGTAGAAACATGTGCAGAGAGAGAGAAAGAGTTATGTTAGAGAGAGAGAGTGATGCACGTTGTAGTGGTGGAGCCTTGGAAACCATGGCGTAAAACGAAGAAATACTGATCACTGATGTTAGACAAGACGATGGTTTGGTGTGTCCCCAAAATGGAGAATTATTATGAGTTTTTATAGTTAGTGGAAAAAAAAAAATTAAAAAAAAAAAAACTGATCAAGTGAGTCAGTCACTGACAATTTCGGCGCTCTCTCTATGTCTAGACATCCACCGTGGCCCAATGGGCTTTTTCGCCCTGCATTTCTTTTCCTTTCAGTGGGCTCCTCTCACGTGCTTTGTTACTGCACGCCCTCTAACGGGAGGTGAAATAAAGATAGGTGTAAACTCCGTAATAGAGATAGACGTAACCCCCGGGACGGGGATTTAACAATAATCGGCGATGAGGTATGTGTGGGGACAAAATCTTGTTCTAGGATCCATTTGGTAGGAGCGAAAGATTAGTTGATAAGTGAATAAGATATGAGAGAAAGGGAGTGAGAAAGAAGGAATAGATTGTAATTTTTTAAAAGTTGTTTAGTATTATAGAAATGAAGTGAGCAAAATGGTAATTGAACCACAAAACATGCACCTCTCCCTCTCAATTCAAGAGCAAAATGGTAATTGAACCACAAAACATGCACCTCTCCCTCTCAATTCAAGAGCAAAATGGTAATTGAACCACAAAACATGCACCTCTCCCTCTCAATTCAAGAGCAAAATGGTAATTGAACCACAAAACATGCACCTCTCCCTCTCAATCCAATGTGAGGAAAGATTAAAAAATGGTGAGACTCATAGATTGGCGATCCATCCCATTTTTTCCTTCATCCTTGAATCCACCCTACCAAATAATGGATTGTGACAACCGTTTCTTCACAATCCATCCACCCATTTCCTTCACTCTCTCAGTCTCTTCTGCTAAACATCCTCTAAAATTGTAAGGGGTAAAGATGAAAATGTCAATGTCGACAGAATTGCTTAGATTTTGATTTACGAATAATACCAATAGATATTTCAAAAAAATGAATACTTCGAGAAAATTTTAAAATTATTTGTTGACACTATACAAAAGATTAAAACAATCAATATTACTTAATTTGAACTAATTCAATAATAAAAATACACATTTTTTTTTATCAAAATATGAAAGTTATGTCGAATATTAGAATAGAAAATTATCATAATTATACATGGATTATGATTCCAAAATAATTTTTCATCTCATTACAAACAACGTACAATAATATAATATACTACATATAAATTAACAAACAAACATAATAGAGTGCACACGGACTTTAAGTGCTTCAATTTAATACCAAAACGAGTTTCTAGTAAGTTGGAGGGTTCCCATCTTGAGCTAAATAATATATTTACTATTACCCTTGAATAGTTCTGAAGGCTGTTGCTAATGTGCCATATGTATATTTCTTGATCTCTTTTAAGTATTAACTCATAAATTAGATACTATTGATTTATACAACTAGATGAGTAGTATTTATGGAGGTGTAATGAGTAGTCTTAATACTTTCTTATTTCTTTTTATTTGGATCATGTTGTCTCATTTTATTGAAAAAAAAGAAGGAAAAAACATGTGCTAAAAAAATTAGATCTTATGCAAAAAAAAAATTCTGATATTTTTGGACATTCTGCGAATATTTTTAAAAATTTCTTGTGAATATTACAGATCTTCTTGGACATTGCGGATATTTTACAAACACGTCTAGAAAAATATCCCCATCCCTTTTTTTTTTTATCTATGTTGAGACTTCAAAATATGAACAATGTCATAGAAATGTTGATAATGTCATGGACATTTTTATCCCTGATGACGGGATGGGAATGGGGGATCTAAGAAGCACTCCTCACCTCCTTCTCTTTCTTGATATACATATATTATGTATTTTATACAAATAAATGAATATGATATTAATTTTTCAAATATAATTAGTCTTTTATTACTAAGTTTGATTTGTATATATTTAGAATTTGCTTTGTTTAGTAGTCCACTTCGATTTACGCGCATATATTATAATTAAATTTTATCTTAAATTATTATAATTTTAAAATACATAATTATATTAAACAAAAAATGAGTCGGGTACGGAGAAAACTTCCTCAATTGGAATCTTTAAAATTGAATATGCTTTTACTTAAGCGAGGATGGAGATTAGTTTGGGGAATGAGGACGGGAACAGAGTATCATTTCCCACCCCGCACCATCCGTAAGAAAATCATGAAATTTGTACCAAATTTACAGAAAAAATGGAAGACTGAAAATGAAATGTATCAAACAGATTGGAGAAATCACTACCAGGATCTTTCCTGACCTAGTTACTGAAACCACGTAGGAGGGGGAAAAGCACTAGCACATAAGAAACGCCCATTTGAGGTCCCCGAATGACGGATTTGGCTATTTCATGCAAGATCTGCTCTTTCTCTTAAAAAAAATCTAATATTTGACCCAAAAGACCCCTCATATAACTGGCAAACTTTTCAATTTGCCTTGTGACGGTCCTTAAAGGGCATGTAATTCCTGCAAATGTTCCACCAAATCATAATGTTAGTCCACAGTTTCAACTAGTCAATATCTGATTAAAGTCTTAGAAAAATGATTAGAAATCACACTAAAGTCAATCTTTCAGTCATAAAGTTATGTGTGTATTTATAGGCTCCTCCGAAAACTAAGGGACGTTTGCGTAATAATAACTTGAGTATCGGTTTAAGGAAAAAAAAAAAAACTTTAGTAAATTACATCATATCACCGTACGTAAATTTTTTCATTTTTTTTCATAAGACATTTTAAATTTTTATTTTAATAAATTGTATCTTGAACTTTTAAATAATTGTAATTAAAATTCAATAGCTAACATGCATTAATATGAAATTGACAGTTTAAGATACGAAATTCGCAAGTAATTTAGTCTGAAAAATAATGAATTTTATCTTTTATGTGTGAATCTCGTACTTCAACTTAGATATTTGATAACACTTTATTTGACCTTAATTGCTACTCATGTTAAAGTTTAAGATGTAATTTACAATAATTAAAAGTTTGAAGGAGTATCATGTAAAAAAAAAAATTATGGACACAACACCACCATTCATTCTAATAACTTTATAAAGATATAATAATTAAAAAAAAATCATCTATCATGAATCACAACTACCCTTTTTAAAATAAATGTTACATAAAGATGTAATCGTTATGATTTATATGCTATGTTGTAGGATCGGTCTTTGCAAAGGATAGAAGGCTATATAGGTATATTTCTAGATTACTTTGGATTTCCCTCTTTTAATTGAGAGGCCGGCAAAACCTTAAATACGGTTCCTTAATTGTATAGAATGTGGGCTAATGCGAGGATCAATGCAGAGCCACAAAGAATTAACTACAAAGGCCATATTGTAGTTGATTTTATCTAGGAAATAGACAAGTTTTGTGTGTCGGATTGGGAATGAAGTCTAGTTTTCTCTTTTTATCTCAAATAGAGAGTCAAGACAAAGTAAGCAAGCGTGTGGCACTACTACACCCCAAAGATGGCCAACTCATTTAATGATAGTAGCAAAGCCCTATCTTCCGAATCTCTCATTTCCATTTTTATTTTTATACACCGCTCGATATTTATTTCCCACCCTCATTCACTTCCCTTCTTCCTTTTACAAGGACAAACAAGATGTTTCTTCCTCGACTCAACCTCTCTCTCTCTCCCCCTCTCTCTCTCCCCTAAGTCATGAGAAAAGTACAATAATGTGCACACCCTAGGTAATTTAAGGCTTTGCATGGAGTGAGAAGCTATAAAAGGGTTAGAAGGTGATCTTTTAGCTTTATTGATAAGAAAAAAAGGTGAAAAGGGATAAGCTAGAGGAGACGAAGTTGTTTATGTTCATTTTTGTGGTGAAAAAGATGGATTGGTTCATTATAGGTTGTTCTTGTATTTTGATGGGAATTATTGCCTTTTGGCTTTACTTTTGGAATAAGAATAAGAAGGAAAAGAAGAGAGAGGAAAATACGCCTAGAATTCCTAAAGGGAATTTGGGTTGGCCTCTTGTAGGAGAAACCATTGACTTCATTGCTTGTGGCTACACATCTCAGCCTGTGAGCTTCATGGAAAAACGCAGATCTCTGTAAGTATTTTTTCTCAACTAATTAAATTACTATTAATTTTTTTTTATTATTATCAGCCTTTTTCTTTTCCTTTGTCATTAATTAAACATTATCCAAAATCGTTTTCTGGCATTTAATATTTTTTTAAAAGAAGGATATATATGAATATGTGTATTTAATTTGTATTATTGTCAATACAGCTATGTCTTTGTTTGAATTATTCGATAGTTTTAAATATTATTCTCTTTCGTATGTCGTGATTGTTTTATCCATATCAAAACTGTTTCTTTTTGGCCTTTTCTTGTCATGAATGAAACATACAGAGATTATTGATGGAGTATTCAAGTTTTTTTTTTTTCTCGCTCTTTTTGAAAAAATTATTATTACTCAGCACGTGAAATAGAGAGTTTGGATATGCAGTGATCTCAATTTTTTTATTGTGAATCATGATCATCTTCTATAATAACATATCACTCGTGATCAGATTTATAATATCTTTAAATTATGTTCATCATGTTATATTGAAATTGCATGCATTAATACACATCATTCTTCGTTTTTGTGTGTTGCATTATTGAGTCTACTTTTTCTGGATGAGAAGCAATAGATTTGTCTGGTGTTTTTTAGTTGGATCGCTAGTGTTATTAGCGTAATTGGCTCGTAAAAAAGATTAGAAATATTTTAGCTCATCTCCTAATTGTAGTCTTCTTGCTGGATTGTCGTTTGGCCTCTCGGTCAAGTTAGAGTATGGTGTGGAATAAAAAAATAAAATCAAAGAGAGGAGATAATAGAGAAAAAATATTACTACCTATTAGTACTACAATCTTACTGTAATACTACAGAACTCCGAAGAATAATGACAACATATGAGTCAATGTATATCCACACGTGTTGGAAATTTATGGCAACTTATTTATCCTTCATAATTACAGTCCCCAAAATAAAGAAAGAGAAAAGGATAGGGTTATTTTCATCCTAATTTTTAAGACAATTTATTGTTTATTTTTAGAGATCTAAATGCCTTAAAATTTTTAAACATGTAATTTTAATTATTAATAAACTGTTATTTTCAGATGAAATATTTTAACAAGAAAATGGCGACTTGTTTTAAAAGAATTAACATGTTAAAAAAAGGATTATAAACACCTTTTAAACAAAAAAAAATCTGAAATAAAAAAATTAATTGTGTTGCGCAATTTAAATTTGTGTATTTTTCTTATATGTTGTTTTCATTTACCACTTTACCCTTTTTAAAACTCTAATGCGTCATCATCGTGTTATGCTATGTCTGAGAATATACAAGTTATTAACAGATACGTCAGAACTATATATTTCAAGAACCTCATAAAAAAAAGACTTGTAGAAGTGGATGTGGATATTTAAAATCAGATAAGTTCAAATATATTGTATTGCTGATGAAAATTAAAAAAAAGGTTATGTTTTATCTAAAAATAAGCCTTTATTCGAGTAGGTCAAAAATATATTTTTCAAAAATGTTGTAGTTTAAATTTTTCTGATTTGGTTTAAAATGAGTGGTTTGAACTTTTGGCTGGAAACATTGAAAATAAAGGCCGGTGTAATGCCTCGTTCTTTTCGCTGATTCGAGTTTAAAATTCAAGTTGAGATGTGATTGTATGTGAGAGTTTTTTACTGTAGCAAAAAAGTTAGATGTGATTGTTTGTGAGAGTTTTTTACTGTAGCAAAACTCGAATTCTAAACTTGAATCAGCGAAACGAACGAGGCAAGTTCGTGTTCTTTTTACAATTTAAATTATAAATTAAGTTTTTTGTGTGAGAAAAAAATATTATAATAAAAAAATTATATTTAAATTTTTTAAAGAAAAAATTATAACAAGAGTTTAAATTGTGAAAATAACAAGATTTAAAGCTGTGTCTGAGTAAATTAGACTTTAAATTTAGAGCCCGTTTGTCTTATATACGTAAATTTAAATTATTCTATTTCAGTGTTTTTTTTTAAAAAATTTAAATTTTAAATATTAAAAAGTAAGAATTATGATTTAAATATATTTTTTAAATGAGTTTTTTTTAAAAAAAACTAACAAAATAAATAATTTTACTGTAGTTTTTTTTCCTATCAAAGACTGGTTCAGTGTAATTTTTTTGGCTCAAAACAGTTTAGACCTTTTTAACAAAGCCCTCGTAGTATTATTTAAATTAAAAAAAATATATATATTCTAGCTTGACGGAAGAAATAATATGAAGAGGGAGGGAGAGAGAAAAAGACTGTCTAAGCAAACTAGACCTTAGACTGTCTGAAACTCTTATTGCGTGTGCAGACAGTAACCACAGCCTATCTCCAAAATTTCAGCCTCCCGATGAATTGACCCACAATACATTATTAACCTCAGCTAGCTAGTCATGACTCAACTTCATTAATTGTCCTTCTTTTTTTTTCATCTACATCCGAAATAAGGGAATATATAGGTTTCCTTATTTAAATTTTTAATTTAAATTAAAATGTGATATTTTATAAAAAATTTTAACTCTAACAAAAAAATATTAAATATAATATTTTTTAAAAATTTTTACTGTAAAAATTAAAAATTAAAAATGAACAATGTCATAATTCACTTTTTTTTTTGTACTCACTATCATTTATTATTGGACATATAAATTTTACTATCTTATTTTTAAAATAATAATATATTATGTTAATAAAGTTTGAATGTTAAATAATAAAAAGAATGATGTTAGCATTTTTTATGCGTTGAAACTTTTAATATAAGAATGAGAAAACTTCTATATGGCTATATATAAATGAAGATTATCAGGATTTAATGCATAATTATCAAATTTATATACTGTTTGTTTTTAATATGGATATAAATATCCCCGGCTAGTATCTCGTAAACTTAGAGCATTTTTAAGAGAGTTCTCTAAATGTTAGTTAAATTCTAGTTAAAATATTAGAAAGTTATTTTAGTTAGTAATTTTTTGATGAGTCACTTCAATCATACTTTCTATTTTAACTAAACATAGATTATTTCAATATTTCTTTAGTTTAAAATATAAATAACTTTTTTTTAATTTTTACTTAATGTCAAAATTAATAATAAAATATTAAAAAAAATAAATAGCTAGTCACTTTTTAGTAGATATATTTAACTAGTGGAAAGTGCTTTAATTAAAATAGTTAACCGAGAGTAGAAAAAAACTAAAAAAAATGTTAAATTAATAATTATTTTAGTTAAAAATATGAAATGACTAGTATGGTTAGAATTGCTCTTACAACATGATCATAAAGCCATATTTAGAAAATTTGTGTAGTTAGATAAAAGACATATAATAATAGCTTACTTATGGGATTTTTATAAAACTATGTTAAATTATCATATTTTTAATATTGATATATTTATGATTTGATTAGTTTACAGTTCATAAATATATCAAAATTCTAAATATGCATCGATATAATATGCTTTTATTCACTATAACAACAAAATTACAGTAGTTCATCAATAATTTGGTGGGAAATGTTTTCTTGTACAGTTGTCCATAAAAATTAACTAAATATATAATGAATTAGTAATAATTATATATGGCAATTCTACAATTGGTTATCAAATATTTTATCGGTTTTGCATTTTTTTTCGTTTCATCTGATTGGTAGAAAATCGATCTTTTTTAAGGTATGGAAAGGTGTTCAAAACGAATATATTAGGGACTCCCATAATTGTATCTACAGATGCGGACGTGAACAAGGTTGTGCTACAAAACCACGGCAACATATTCGTCCCCGCTTACCCAAAATCCATCACAGAGTTACTCGGCGAACATTCTATTCTCCAAACCAATGGAAGCTTCCACAAAAGAGTTCATGCTCTCATTGGAAGCTTCCTAAGAACCCCACACTTCAAAGCCCGAATCACCTCAGATATTGAGAACTCAGTCAAGCTTTCCTTGGCTCGTTGGAAATGGAATCACATGCAGCTTGTTTACGTCCAAGACGAAGCCCAAAAGGTATATTTTATATCATATGATAGATGTATATATAATACTTGGATAAAATATATATATATATATATATATATAAGTGTTAGTGGGTGTCAGTGCGGGGCCAGAAATTTTTATCACTTTGGCTAATAACAACATAAAAATTTAATCAAAATAAATATTTATTAATATACTACAATTGTCCCGGATGAGTTTTCATGGCTTGAAAATGTTGCATAATTGTTGAGTGTATATTAGGCTTTTGATTTGGAAATGATTAATTTTAGTGGGGTCTTACTAATATCAATATAATAAAATACTTAATTATACATATAAGATCTAAAAGAAAAAAAATTTTGAGTGGGGAATTAAGCCCTCGTTGGGCTAGCTTTGGCTCCATCCATGGTGGGTGCTAATCTTGTTGGAATGCACCAACAATATATGCTATCGGTTTATACAGTTTATAAAAAAATATGTGTATTAATTAATTAATTTTATATGATTTTCAGATTGCATTTGAAGTGCTGACTAAAGTGTTGATGAGCGTTGATCCCGGTGAATATTTGAACTCTCTAAAAACAGATTTTGAAGAATTCATTAAAGGGTTAATCTGCTTACCGATTAAGCTTCCCGGAACTAGACTATATAAATCTCTCAAGGTATATATATTTTGATAAACAAAACTATAAAATATAAGTATGCATATTCTTCATTTGGCTAGGGCTTTCTTTAATTTAAGTCGTTATTATTTCTATTATTTGAACCTAGTTAAAAAGAAGGATTTTATACGATTTGTAAAATGTAGGAATATGTAGAAAAAATTTAAGTTGGAACGTAACATCTTGTAAAAAGAAATGGAGATTTTTGTAATTGTCACTATAAAAATGCACCAGGAAATTAAGAGCGAAATCAACCATAGTAGTAGAGGTTACAAATAACAGAACAACCTCTATACCCCAAACAGACTTAGAATTAAAGAAAATAATTATCCTTATTATTTATCTCCGATAGTTTAGAAAATAATTAAACTTTCAATAGTGTATTGCTATTTGTATTATTTTATCAACAAAAATATTCGTATTATTTATTGTTGGTGGTACAGGCTAAGGAGAGGCTGTTGAAGATTGTGGGAAGAATAGTGGAGGAGAGAAAATGGGGCATGGAGAATAATAGTGGTAATAGTAATAAAGGCCCACCGAATGATGTGGTGGACGTGCTACTACAGGAAAGCAGCGACTCAAAGGAGACGCGACGAATGCCGTTGGATTTCATCACCGGGAATATCATCGAGATGATGATCCCTGGAGAGGAGACAGTGCCAACGGCCATGACCCTGGCTGTCAAATACCTCAGTGACAACCCTGTCGTTCTACAAAAATTAAGAGTACGCATTTTTAATTAATTCTATCTCTTTCTTTATCTACGATATTGATTCATTCTTTTTAATCGGACGGCTAGGAATTATTTCTAATAATCAGGGCAAAACATGCTAGGGTCCAGGACACATGCTTCTTTATTTTTGCATAACACACGTGTGGCCACCCGCGTGAAGCCAGAGAGAGAGTGAGTGGGAGGTAAGTGTGTGAGGAGGGCCACACGTTTTGAGGTTGTGGATGATTCGCAGCCGTACGATTTAGATTGGACGGCTGCCGGGTGAGGACCACCTATTTATTTCATCGCTGTCGGTACCCTGCCACCCGTCACCATCATAAGTAACAATTAATTGAAAAGAAAAAAAAAAGAAGAAATTTATAGTAGGGATTGTGTATAATTCTAATATGACGTGATTTAGGATTGTGTATTCTACACTAGTCGGGTATTTTTATATCCTAATATAAAATGTTGGAAAAAAAGGTCCCTAATATGGAAAAATATAAAAGTTTGGTATAGTGTTATTCTTCATATAGTGTTTCTGAAATGTCAGATTATATTAGGATTGAATCATAATAAAAAAAATATGTAAAATTCATGCAATTTGATGGAAATTGAGTATAAACCAGTGATTTTTTTTTTCCTTAATAAAAAACACCACTACAAATTGTCAATGTCATGTTGACTCCTTACGTAAGAATATGTGAATCTGAATAATTAATATGTGAGTTATAGCAAACAAAAATAATTAATGTGTGACTCATGATTACTTATAAATCGATGTGATGATCGTATAGATCAAAGTGTTACATAATGATATTCACCATATTGCCTTTTAATGTGTAAGCAGTAGATTTACCTATGACGAGACCCTATTTCATGAAAAGGGGGGCTACATATTAGCTTTTGGAAATGCAGTGCATATATCTGTTTAGTGAAAATAGTGCTTAGTAGTAGATTTTAGCAATGATCCAAAAGAGAGAAAAATACACTTTGGGAAGCATACAAATTAATGCTTTGTGGGGAAGGATGTTCCTTTGTTTAGAAAGCAAACAAGCCCGAATTAAACGGGGGAAATGGGCATGATTTAGAACTGGAAGGAAATTACCTTTAGAGAAAATCACTAAACTTTCATTGAGTGCATGAGTATGGATTTATTAATACATTTTGATTAATATAATTATTTAATTAAAAAGAATATTAATTAAAGATAAGAGATAAAAATTCAAATTTATACTTTAAAAGGTATTTGTCTCATTTCTCCATTGTTTTAACAAGGTAACAAATTGATATGGAATTATAGAGCATGGAAATGGTTGTGACAAAGTCACAACTAGGTTTTCAATTTTTTTTTTTTTAAAACAAAAACACACACACACAAGTAGGCTTTTATAACGGCTTAGAAGTTGCCATATAAAACTGCATGCATCTAAAAAATTATTTTCTTTTTTCATACGCTTTTTTCTTATGATTTTTTAACGAATAGACAAATAACTCCCTAAAGTTTTAATTTTAGCAAAGTGTTTCAAAGTATCCTCATATTGATGAGGTTAAAATTTGAAAGGAAAATTCTCTTACGTGACATAATGTGCTTTATCATCATCTAAAAATCTCAGCCACTTTCTTCAAGCACATAATGTTGTCCTAGTCATGGAAACTCAAAAAAGTACTAAACCAACTAGCTTTGTAGAAAGATTTTCCCCTTCTTTCAATAGTAAGAAATCCTCATTCTACCAAAAAAAAAAATGCTGCGACGGACAAAGAGACGCATATGTAGGTGAGTACACTCTGATGATAGTGCTTTTATGGCAAAAGGGAAATTACGAGCTGTTCTAAAGTTAAATTTTTTCTGACTTGGATCTTTAGTGGAAGTAATGTCTGGAAATGGGTAATAGTGATTTTATGTTACTATTTGCAGGAGGAAAACATGGAATTGAAGAAGCAGAAGGTCATTGGTTCCTCCACTAATTGTACGTGGACTGACTACATGTCCTTGCCATTTACTCAGAATGTGAGTACCAAATTTTGGATGGAAAAAATATATAGAATGGTTTACTAGATAGTAATGCTTATGTACTCTAAATACAATAAATTTTTTTTTTCTATTTCCTTTTCGTATTAAATGCCAAGGTTAGGTGTAAATGGAATTTATAAATAAACAAAAAAATAATAATAATGCCCATATTGTTATTTTTCTTCTCCTTTTACAAGGTGATAAGTGAGACACTTAGAATGGCAAATATCATCAATGGGGTTTGGAGAAAAGCTCTTAAAGATGTAGAAATCAAAGGTTAGTTTCTCTTTCTCTTTTTTTTTTTTTTTTTCCTTCTTTTTTCTTTATATCTCTGCTTTTCACAACTCAAATTCTATTATTATAGTGTTTTCTCTCACAAATATTCAAATTCATTATTTTAATACAATTTTAATTCTTAACTTGAGTTGTGAAACATTCCCTTAGAATTCTACGATGAAGACACTTAATTATAAGTCTTGTAACGTACTAGAATTTAAATCAAACAGTACATAATATATGTGGATAGACATCATGAGGTGATTACTTAAGCAATTTTGTATTTTAATATTGTAGGCGCCTTAGTGGTGTTTTTCATCTTTTACTTTCAGGTTATTTGATACCAAAAGATTGGTGCGTTTTGGCATCTTTTATTTCTGTTCACATGGCTGAAGAGAACTATGAGAACCCATATGAGTTTGACCCATGGAGATGGGAGGTGAGCAAAGCATTTCCTGAAACCGCACTCCAATACGTTTCTATACAAAGGGTATTTATGGCTCGAATAGTACACATCACTTTCATTTCTCCTTTTGTTGCAGAAGACAGAATTAGCTACTGTCTATAGCAATAGCTTTACACCATTTGGTGGTGGACAACGGCTGTGCCCGGGGTTAGAGCTTTCTAGACTTGAATTAGCAATTTTCCTTCATCATCTTGTCACTAATTATAGGTAATCTGTTGCGACCTTTTTAATAAACAGGATTTTTTTATAATAGTATATCATAATTGATATTGCGTGTTTCTCATTGTCACGTTTTATGAAAATTATATTAGAATAAAAAATACATAGTTTGATGAAATTTCAGTGAATATTTTTTACAGTTTAAAACAATACAACAATATTGATCAGGTAGTTCTTTGTAAGGTGAGTCTTCCTAGAGTAAAAGTATCACGCCGGTGGTGTATGTTTTTAATTAAAATCACATTAAAACAAAAAAATTATGCGGAGCAAATAATTTTTTAAACAGAAGAGGTTAAAAACAAAAAAAACTACCCCCGTAATTTTTTTTTTCAAATCATACCGTTAAAAATCTCCTTCGTTGTACTACTCAAAATATATATATATATATATATATATATATCTCCTTCGTTGTATCCTACCAATATTGGAACTGCCCCATATGATGCACATTACTTAATCCAATGTTTATTATGCAAATCCACAGATGGATTGCCGAGAAGGATGAGATTGTTCACTTTCCAACTGTCAAGATGAAGAGGAAGCTGCCCATTACAGTCACATCAATAAGCACTTGAAAAGTCATTCAGTTGACCCATCATCCAAAACGTGTACAGCATCATGATTATCCTCATTATATAATTTTTGGTGGCGTTGCCCTGTATATATACATAGATACATACATATATATATATATATATATATATACACACACACACACACACACACACACACATATATATATATATATATATGGAAACATATCATAACGTATATCATTGTGTTAGTTCTGGTGTCACCATCTTTGTCCAAGGCAGGAGATCCCTTTACAAAATTTTTCAAGTGGGGATGCTGAAATCCAACTCCCATATCTTACAAGTCCCCATATCAGAAATCTTCTGCTTTTTGGTTTTCTGGTGAAGCCCTCAAAGGAGGGTCAATGTGCTTTGTCGCATTACTGAACAGAGCACAGTGCACACGGGCTCCAGACTCCAGAACTCAATAATATTGAACTGGTGGAGCCATACTACAATGGTGCCAAAAATGGTCACGGTTACTTGTCCGAGCCCTCCACATAAGTCTAAAATATGCACAGTGATTGAAAGATGCATATAGTTGCTTCATTTGATGGTTCTGCATATAGTGTCCTCAAACTGCCAAAAACAAAAAAGTTGGGGAAGATAGTTAAAAGAGGAGATAGAAAAATATCTTCCAAAAGATTGATGGGCAAAGATGAATTTGTTTGCTGTAGCAAGGGAAATTCCTAAAAAACAGTCAATTATTAACGGCAATTAGGTTCCAAATGTCAAAATTAGAAATATTCTTAGTCTAGCATCGACACTAATGAAAAGTTCAGGGCACATTTTATGCAAAAATCACAAAGCGCTCTGTCTATTAATTGACGTCTGATAGTTAAGTTAACGAACATTACAATGTATTTTAAACTTAAAATGTCTCATTTTCTAAAATTAAAAGTTTAGTCCAAGTTTAGAATGTACCTTTTTCTAAGGTGATAATTACACCACGTGACAAAATTGTATATCTTGATTTAAAATTTAACAAAACTTTCATAATATTATAAATATAGAAAAAAATGACACAAATCATTATCATAATAATGTCACATTTTATACTATGTAATGATATAGTCATTATTTTGATGATATTAAAATTTTGCTATTTTTGTAATATTTTAAAAATTTTGTTATATTTAAACTCTACCATTGAAATTTTACTAGATTCATAGAGAGCACCTTTAAGAACGTTTTCAAGTTTGTTCCAAGTCCAATTGATGGATAAGTGAGTAAACGTTTAATCGCAAGAGGCGGTGAGGCAGACACAACTTGGACTTGCCTCTGAACTCCAGACAAAATCACAAAACCAGTTTTCAATTCCTAGCTCCAACTCTTTAGTAATAAGCTCTGTCGTTTCACTTCAAAGTGGTGTGATTTCTTTATCCAGAACCAAGACGAATCAGAATAAAGTAATAATTGAACTCGAGTACTTAACAACGTGCATTTACATGGTATGAGCTGTTGCTGTTGAATACAAGAAAAAAGATGAGCTCCCTAACTAAGAGTAAGTCGAAAACTGAGCACTTCAAGCAAAAGAGCAAGAAAATAAAGACATTATAAAAATGTGAATATGAAATGGTCATTGGGTTGAAAAACAATATTCTCCCCTTGCAATCAGGAGCCTGCAAGTAGATGCACTAAAATCATCTCAAATAAATTGTTCTAATTCAAAGCACTTATCCAGGAACAAAAGATCTCAATACGTCCACTGTGATGGGGTAATAGCTACCAGTAGTATAACAAAAGCTAACATGACCAACAACCTGCCTAACGAGGTTCATCAAGAAGAACATCAAGCCATAGATTTCTTCCCTTCCTCGAGCCGGTGCAACTCTGCCAGTCTTTGAGCCCACTCTCTTCCCCTGGCCACTGCAGCCATTTTTCGCTCTATCCTCTTGATGTTCTTCTTCCTTTTAGCCTCTTGCATCTGAGCTTTCCTTTTCTTTTTTTCTGCCTGCACAAGCTCAAAACCAAGTATGCATTAAAGGAAGATCATTATATCCAACAGGAAAGCAAGCAAATGTCAGAGTTGAAGGCATAATCATGTACTGCTCGCAAAATTGAGATGACTGCAAGTTGACCCTAAAAAATGAAGATTTTACGCGTACCAAAATAAAAAAAAAAAAGGATGCTGGATGCCTAGAGCAATTACACATTTCTGTTTGTTGGCTATGTTTTGATGAGTAGCCAATCAAAATAACAAAATAACAACAATGGTATAGTGAAAGTAGCAAAAGCTTATGCTTGAGATTACTCACACTGCGTTTCCTCAGAAAAGAGACCAATGAGAATATGCTTAATCATCACTCAAATTGTTCAACAATTTGCAGTAGTACACGAACATTGGCATAAGCATTAAGCGCCAAATCTCCACGCAGAAGTGAGGTTAAGGAAGCGCTAAGGAATTAAAACCCAGGTTGCCTTATAATTACAGACAATCATTCTAAAAGGACTTATGTGCCTATAAATAGGCATCTCTATGTTCATTATTCTCATACTTGATTAACGTTACTGAATATTCATATTCTCTCTCTATTGTTCACTTCTTTTTCTCTCCAGATTCTAAATTCTTACTCCTCTCTATACTCTTCTACTTCTCCCTAAATTCTTCTCTTGTTCTATATCTTCCCCTCTCATTCTTTAATCTATCTTGGTCCTGCATCACCTAGTTGCCTTGTGGTTATGGACAATCATACTGATATTAGTGATCCAAATTATGAGATAACTGAATTGCTCATTCATCTTTTACTTGGACACTATAATCAAGTATGCATTTTATGTGTAGTTCAGAAAATCAGGCACATTCCGGGACACATTTTCGGATATTTTTAAACTAAGAAACAAGTAATATCTGTCAACAATTTTCTCTTCATTAAAGTAATGAAAAGCTACAGAACAACTTCAAAATCATGACATTCATAATCCCGAGTACCAGGCTACCAGCAATTATGAACCAAAGGTGACTGTGATTTGAAAAAGCGTCCAAAATAAATAAGTTAAACACTACAGAAGAAACAAAAAGATACGCATCAAACACTCTTAAGTCATCAAAGAAAGGAAAAAAAAAAAAAAAGGAAGTAAAAAGGACCAATAAAACGTCAAAAACTCACCAAAATGAATGCAAGGCGCTGCCTAATACGCTTCTTCGCGTTCCGTCTTTTCACACTTCCTTCATTAGGTTTCGCAGCTATCGGCTCACCAGGAACATATGGAACCAATTTATACGGTCCTACGCTCCACAAAATTAACAAAAAGAAAAAAAAAAGAGAGAGAAGGATCAATACCAGTCCCATTCCAAATTTTATACACCAAAATGAAGTGAAATATACTAACTTTGCCCTTAATTCATTTTCCAAAACCCCAATTTCAATTTCGTTTGTTCATCAATATTTTATATATATATATATATATATTACAATATAAAAAACAACCTTTCCTTGATGAAACTTTCAATTTCACGCTCCAAAATGAAGCGATAGTAATGCCAACTTTGCCCTTAATTCACTTCGCAAAACCCCAATTTCGCTTGCAGAAAAGATCTAGCTACATTTTCCACACTAATTGTTACGCAATACGTGAAATTTTCAATCTTTTAGCAAATTCAAACACTAGCGTGCTAAAAAAAGCAAAGAAATTAACTTTAATAATAAGATTAAAAAGGGCATGACACTGTAATGAGGAACCTGGAGGTCTTAAGCTGCCCCTCTTTCGGCCGGGCTTATCGCTGGGCCGTCGTTTGGGGAACCGAGTATCGGTCAAGCTGTGGAAATGGCTCGAAATCGGAAACCATGGAGCTTGGTGGCCAAATGAGGCGCCAATAATTGATCGGAGCTCCGATTTCGGCGATGGCGAACCGGCGGCTACGGCGGCGAGCAACGTTGCAGTTGAAGTGGAGGTTCGCGATATCAGGGTTCTGGAGAGGGGTCGAGTGATGTATCTTAGGGCTCCGAATCCCATTTTCGGGTCTCTGAATTTCGGCTTCGAATGGGCAAGAAAACGAAGCTCTACTGAGAAGAATGAGACGGGTGAGAACGGCGTGTGTTCTCGTTGATGGGCTATTTTGTTGGGCCTAAGGGTTGGGCTAAAAAATTGGGCTGATGACAGAGTTGAGCCCAAAATGTGCATCTAAGTCGGCCCAAAAGAGTTTTTTTTTTCTTGTTTTACATATCTTAGCCATAATTAATATATAAAAATTGTTACTATAACTGTGCCCTTTAGTTTTTTAATTTTATTGTTTCCTTTTTCTGTTTTTTATTAATTTTCTTACTCAATTCTTTGTATTTTATAAGGCTTGCTACAATCGTTGTTCTGCCGTGTTAATTGTGTATAGCTGACTGCTACTTAGCATTAGCTGATTTATATACCAAAGTTTGAGGAATATTTGTAGCGTTTGAGGTACGTTTATTAATTCCTATCTAGAATTCTTTAGCAATTGTTGCCTGCAATATACATATTACTTTTCTATGTCAGATGTTAAAATAAGTCATCTTTATCTTTCTTAACATGTAGTCAAGCAAAACCATTGGAAAAGATTTATATTAATTCTTAATAAATGTTGGCAAATTTCTTTTAATTAGTAATAATTATTACCATTAACCTTATATCTCTACTTAAAATTAACTAAAACCAAATCTCTAAACAGACCCATATTACTCTTATCTATGTAATAGACTACTGATTTTTTGTTCTTTTCCTTTTTTTGCTATACAATCTATTTAGTGTTCCTTTTTCATTTTTGTTCCTTTATCCAATATAAGAATTTAGTTTCTCTATTTCTCATAAATTGACTTTATTATTTTATCTCTTTTTGACTCCATTGTAGAGCTTGCTTCACGTGTTTGAATCTCATAGGTTAATTTCACTGTTATGCTCCTTTTTGTATACCCTTCTCTACTCCATTTTTATGTGGCGATGATGATTATAGTTACTTTTTATATTTTTAATATTATATAATTTATTCACAAATTACTCGTATCACTTTTTTTTTTACTCATTCCAATTCTTTTGTCTCCTTATCATTCAATATATTTATGTTTGATTTCTTTTTAATCCATCTCATTTTCTCAGTTTTACTTATGCAACTTATTGCCTTTTGTTTTGTTTCTCTTTTTTTCCTACCATTTCCTTCTCCTCTGTTCTACATATGCTTTTAAGTTTTTTTACTCTCTTATATTCCGACAATGTCTACTCTTCCCTAATACTATATTCCCTTATTTCTTTTTGCTCTTATCATCTTCCATCACTTAAATCTTTTTCATCTACTTAGCAATCTTTGAACAGCTTTAAATTTTACTTATTCTTTTTTTCCTTTCTTATTACTTAGTCAACTAATATTTTGAGTAACTTGACATTTCACTTCAACTACTTTCCTTGCTTTCTACTCCTGACCACAACCCTTTTACACTTTTTATATTTTGTCCTAAATACAAGCTTCTTCAATCTTTTATATAATCCAATCTCATTAATATTTCTTACATCTTTCATACATTCTGATTTAATTCCATTCTCCTTTGTTGCTTCACCTGTTTTAAACCTGATTGCCTACGTTTATTATAACAAAAGTTAGGCATTGAACCCTCAAATTGGCTGCCTTTGCTCTTTATAAAGCAAATTAATACTTTTTCCTTCTTTTATCTTCTCTCATTTTACCATACTATTTTGCTCATGATCTTTTATTATTTTATTTCCCTTAAATCTGGCTTAATTCATATTCCTGACATTGGAAGCATTAATTTGCTAGGATAGTATTGATATTTACTGTTATTGTCCTTTTTTTCTTTGTATTTGCTTAGTAATAGTCCTTATACATTCATTGTTTCATTTGTTTTCTGATGATGTATACGTGCATATATATATATATATATATATATATTTCTCTACCTATTTTAGTCTTAATTTAGTCTTGGTAAGTTCCTTTGCATGGCAATGATGATAGTAATTAATTTTGATGTGTTGAGTTTTATATAATTTCTCTAAAAATTGCTGTGAATGTCCTTTTTCTAATTTGATTTTGATCTTATTCATTGTTTTTCAATTGAATTCTATAAAGTTTTTGTCCTCCTTTTTTTGCTTATTCTACTGATTTTGATAATTTAGTTTCTATTATTTTGCTAAAATATTATCCATGGTTACATAAAATTTCTTTTCCCATTGCTGACCTTTCGTTCTTCTATATTACTGTTCCTATTTAATGTCAAAAAAAGAAAAAAAGCCTTATTATCTTATTTTACTATTCTTATGATATTTATGTTTTTCTTACTATTCAATTTAGTTTCTTTTGATTTCCTAGGAAACATATTATAGTTTTTGTTATTTTGTCAATGTTAATCTTCTCTCTCTCTCTCTCTCTCTCTCTCTCATTTTCCTTTTCTTTTGCACTTTTTTTAATTCACTTAGTAATCTTTGGACAACTTTATATATTACTCCATTTACTCACTTTGAATCACATAAAAATTATCATCTGCGTGATAAATATAATATCTTATAGTGTTGTGCAGTTACCCTTAGTAGGTAGCTACAAAGTTGCCCTTAGCAGGTAGCCACAACTTATTTATCATACATTGCTGAAAATATTTCATATCTGAGCCACAATTACTATATAAAAATATTGTTATAACTATATATTTTTTTTGTTTTTTAAGTTTGTGTTTTTTTTTTTTTTTAATTCATTCATTTGCTTACGTAATTATTCATATACATATACACACACACAGATACAAACATATATACAAATGTATATTTATCTGTCTATTTTAGCTTTAATAAATTGATCTATGTGGCAATGATGATAATGATTGATTTTGGTATTTTAAGTTTTAAATAATTTGTCTAAAGATTACTATGAATATCCTTTTCCTAATTTGATTTTCATTTTATTCATTATTTTTCAATTGAATTTAATAATGTATTTATCTTTGTTATTTTCACTTATTGTATCCGTTTTGATCATCTTTCTTCTATTATCTTATTCAAATATTATCCATAGTCACATAAAATTTCTTTTTCCACTGCTGACATTTTTTCCTTCTATGTTATTGTTCTTGTATTTCTCTTTGCTATTTCCATTTGTTAAACCGGTTTTGGCCACGTCTGTTCTAATCATTGGTTTCTAGCACTTTTTCTTTTTCTCTAAGTTTTCTTTGTCTTCTTTTTGTATAGGTAACAATTTTTATCATTTTTTATGTATTATCTTTTCTTTTTTTGATCATTTTCCTTTTTTATTCACCTGATAGTCTCTAGAGAACTTTATATATTACTCCACCTATTTATTTTGCATTATATATAAGCTACAATTTGTGTGATAGATATAATATCATTCTTTTTTGTGTAGTTGCCCTTAGTAGGCAGCCACAAAATTGCCCTTAGCAGACAGCCACAACGTAGCTATCACACATTGTTGAAAATATTAAATATCTGAGCCATAATTAATATATAAAAATGTTACTATAACTGTGCCCTTTAGTTTTTTAATTTTATTGTTTCCTTTTTCTGTTTTTTATTCATTTTCTCACTCAATTCTTTGTATTTTATAAGGCTTGCTACAATCATTGTCCTGTCGTGTTAGTTGTGTATAGCTGACAGCTGCTTAGCATTGGCTGATTTATATACCAGAGTTTGAGGAAAATTTATAGTGTTTGAGGTACGTTTATTAATTCTTATCTAGAATTCTTTAGTAATAGTTGCCTGCAATATATAGATTACTTTTCTATGTCAGATGTTAAAATAAGTCATCTCTATCTTTCTTAATATGTAGTCAAGCAAAACCATTGGAAAAGATTTCTATTAATTCTTAATAAATGTTGACAAACTTCTTTTAATTAATAGTAATTATTACCATTAACCTTATATCTCTACTTAAAAGTAACTAAAACCTACTCTCTATACACACCCATATTACTCTTATCTATGTAATGGACTACTGGTTTTATGTTCATTTCCTTTTCTGCTATACAACCTGTTTAGTGTTCATTTTTCTTTTTTGTTCCTTTCTCCAATATAAGAATTTAGTTTCTGTATTTCTCATAAATTGACTTATTATTTTATCTCTTTTTGACTCCATTTTAGAACTTGCTTCGCCTGTTTGAATCTCATAGGTTAATTTCACTGTTATACTCCTTTTTGTATACCCTTCTCTACTCTCTTTTTATGTGGCGATGATGATTACAATTACTTTTTATATTTTCAATGTTATATAATTTATCTAAAAATTACTCATATCATTTTATATTTTTTTACTCATTCCGGTTCTTTTGTCTCCTTATCATTTCAATATATTTCTCTTTGATTTCCTTTTAATCCATCTCATTTCCTCAGTTTTACTTGTGCAATTTATTGCCTCTTTTTTCTTTTTTTTCCTTAGCATTTCCTTATCCTCTGTTCTACACATGCTGTTAAGGTTTTTTACTCTCTTATATTTCAACAATGTCTACTCTTCCCTAATACTATATTCCCTAATTTCTTTTTGCTCTTATCATCTTCCATCACTTAAATCTTTTCCATCTACTTAGCAATCTTTGAACAACTTAAATTTTACTTATTCTTTTTTTTTTCCTCTCTCTTATTACTTAATGAACTAATATTTTGAATAACTTGACATTTCACTTCAACTACTTTCCTTGCTTTCTACTCCTGACCACAACCTTTTTACACTTTTTATATTTTGTCCTAAATACAAGCTTCTTCAATCTTTTATATCATCCAACCTCATTATTATTTCTTACATCTTTCATATATTATGTTTTAATTCCATTCTCTTTTTCATTCTCCTTTGTTGTTTCACCTGTTTTAAACCTGATTGCCTTCGTTCATTATAACAAAAGTTAAGCAGTGAACCCTCAAATGTGCCGCCTTTGCTCATTACAAAGCAAATTAATACTTTTTCCATCTTTTATCTCCTCTCATTTTACCATACTGTTTTGCTCATTATCTTTTATTATTTTATTTCCCTTAAATCTGGCTACCTTTGCTCATTAAATTGCACACTACGTTGCCCT